TAAGCTCCGACTCACTATTTATTTGTAACAACGGGTGCAGGTAAGCATAAACATAAAGAAATTCTACTATAAATACGTTTATAAAAATCGAGATGAAAACAACGGTCACCCTACATCTGCTGCTAAAAATGTGGATTTATCTCTGATTATAGTTTTAGCTTAATAGAAATACACATATTAATGATATAGATTAAAAAAAAAAGTATAAAATTATCCAAAAAATATATATTTTAAATGATTTAATTACCATACACCATTATGATTTAAGAGCAAATAAGCTGTGATGGAACATAAAAATTAATACTAGCCATTTATATTATTATCTCAACTCAACTCTCGAACAAAATCGAATCGAAAATCATTGACAGTACTTTCAATTTTCCCCAAACGGGGTAGTCCCGTTATTTTCTTCTCTCTTCCTCTGCGAAAAAAATTAATTTTTCACAACACATTTATGCATTCTCATGTGTGTTTGCATAAAATAAAAAGAGAAAGGAAGAAGAAGAAGGAAAGGTGGAGAAAATTGAAAATAAGTCCACTTTTAGATATTTTTCCATAACATGTTTCAATCCTTTACAAATATGTTTTATTTGTTACAGAAATACCAAATTGTTCATTGTACAAATGGAAAATAGCTTAGGATCAATCTTTGTCCTGTTCGTTTTGTTTAAAAAAAAACCGAAGAAAATTGAATTCTTATTTTAATTTAATGCCTTATGCACCAAGATACCTTGAACATGTTACGTTCATCTCTTTAATTATCTTCATATTTATGATTTCTCCGTCTCTTTGTGATCCTAGAACTTCTGTTGCTAATATTTCTTGCAAGTCTCGAGCAAATGTGGCGACTAATGTTGATTTAATACCAAAATTTACACAAGTTATGGAGACTACTCTCCATGATTTCATATTGGAAAATAAGTCTGCAACATATGAAATGAATACGAATGCACCTGATATTTATGGAATGGCGAAATGCCATAATGATCTTTCTCAGGATGATTGCAAGCTCTGTTTTGAAGAAGCTAAAATTAAGCTAACAAAATGTATTCCTGCTCCTGGTGGCTCTGTTTATCTAGACGGTTGTTTTCTCAGATATGAAGATTATAATTTTTTCGACGAGAGTATACTGAAGAATTCATCTATTTATGTTTGTGGTGCTCCCACCGATATAACGAATGATCAGTACATGAAGAGGGATTTTGCTGCAAGAGTTGATCGTGCAATTGTGAATGTTACAAGCATGTCGATAGTGAATGGTGGATTTGGGGCAACGATTGTGAAAAGTGGATTGCTTGCTATTTATGCATTAGGACAATGTTGGGATTATTTGCAACCCGAAATATGCACTATGTGTTTGAATAATGCTGGAGATATGCTAAGGAAATGTTTGCCTGCTGCAGAGGGAAAAGCTATGAATGCTGGTTGCTATTTGAGATACTCTTCTAATAAATTCTTCGATGATGGAGCACTAGTCCTCGCTGATAAAGGTAACGCCAAAGAATTTCTTGTTAATTAGTCTCTGGACGTCCCTGATACACTAAGCTCCCACTATGCACGGGTTTGGAAATATATATTGGGTCTATTCTGTAATGTGTCTAGTCTTACCTGCATTTCTGCAAGAGCTAGGTTGTCTCCATGGCTTGTCTATTTCTAGCAAAGTATGAAGGAGATATTTGTTACTTAGTATATATATTTTTTAGCTAACATTTGGTCCGGTGTTCAATTTTTTTTCAGGACCAACAAAGTGTAAGAATGTATGGATAATTGCAGCGATTGTATTATCGTCTATCTTGGGAGTATTTGCTATTTTAGGAGCTTTTTTAGGCTATAGAAGATATTCTCAGGATAAAGGAGGTATACTTTCAAATCTTGAATTCCATAAATTAGTTTCTGTTTGTTCATGTTCTGATGGATCTTCTGCTTATCGCGATATCTATATATATAGGTACAAATAGGATTCATAAGATTCCACTGGCTCTTGAGACGTCGAAACTAAATTTCAAGTATGAAATGCTAGAACAAGCAACAGGGGGGTTTGATCCTTTAAACAAGTTAGGCCAAGGTGGATCTGGTTCAGTATATAAAGGGATTCTTTCTGATGGCAAAAAAATTGCTGTGAAAAGATTATTGTACAATACGCGTCAATGGGCAGAGGAGTTCTTCAATGAGGTCAATTTGATAAGTGGTATTCAGCACAAAAATGTTGTGAAACTCTTGGGATGTAGCATAGAAGGACCAGAAAGTCTTCTGGTTTTCGATCATGTATCTAACAGGAACCTTGATCAATTGCTTTTCGGTAACTATTCTACAAGTTCAATCTAACTAGTAGTAGTATTTTACTATACTTTTGTAGGGACGGATTCAAAAATTTGATTGCTTTTTCTTGAAGATAAGAACAAACGTCAATTTTTAAGCTGGAAGGAGCGATTTGATATTATATTGGGAATAGCAGAAGGGATAGCACATCTTCATGAAGGAAGCAAAGCAAAGATCATCCATAGAGATATTAAAAACAGTAATATTCTAGTAGATGATGAACTCGTCCCAAAAATTGCTGATTTTGGACTTGCTCGACGTTTTGCTCCCCATAAAACTCATGTCAGCACCGGAGTTGCAGGAACGTTGTAAGTTATCAATGTTTGAAATTGGTTTTTCTCCAAGAATACTTCTAGTCTATAATATGATTTAACACTGTTGTAGGGGATATCTAGCTCCTGAATATCTTCTTCAAGGATGTTTAACAGAGAAAGCAGATGTTTATTCATTTGGAGTGGTGGCCATAGAGGTTGCATGTTGTATAAAGAGCAACGTCTTTGTGAGTGATAACGGATCAGTTCTACAATCTGTAAGTTTCAAAACCATCCTTATTCAGTAACAACTTAAGCTTTTAGACGATCAGTTGGTCATATAGTTTGTGTTTTTTTAACTCTTGTAATAGGTGTGGAGAAATTACAAGTTGAATAAGATTACGGAGTCAATTGACAGTAGGCTGATGAGTGACTTTCAAGAAGAGGAGGCATCGCGTGTGCTTCAGCTAGGACTATTGTGCACACAAACTAGAAGATTTTCGCGACCATCTATGTCTCAAGTGGTAACAATCCTAAGAAACGAAGAAATTGAAATTCCAACGCCAATGCAACCTCCATTCCAGAACTCAAGTTTACTAGCTCCTCCAGATACAAGCAGTTCATCCATAACTAAAGATAGTTTCTGCTCAGAATGGTATTCCACAGATGGAATTTCTATTCATTCTTCTGAGTTTGCTAGCATTTCTAGCTCTCAATCAGGTGATTTTTCGACGTGTGAAAACAGTAGACTTTTGAAAATTGCTTGAGGATTTTGGTTGCTTGCCATTAGGTCTCTGAACCAAAGATCAAATGATTTGGAACTGACCCTATTTGCACATATGTAAAATTTAACAGCAGAGTCATGACTTGTAAATCACGGCATTGCTTTCGTTGGTGTATCTGTAACTATACAATTCAAGAGGATGAAATAGATTGAATCGATAGAGCTGTTTATGGAAATGTTACATTGCCAGTACTGGAAAATGTTATACAGTTTCTTGTCCTGATAAAATGGTCTCAGTGGTTGAGCTACTCTGAAGCAAAAGACTAATATTGACTTCATGTGACAAGAGACATAAACAAAGTTGATTGCTTATATACGACCCATCTAATAGTTATTATCTCATAAAATCACTTTCACTATTAAAGGAAATTGGAATGAAGAAGACATATGACTTTCTGAGATAATAACTATAAGTTGAGTGACCATCTGAGAGAAATATTAGATGGTCGTCTAACTTTTTCAATAACTATAAAATTATAGACCATGATCTAATGTTTTCTCATGCTCAAATTGGATCATTAGACCATGATTTAAAGACCCTTATTTCATAAGTTGCAATATGGAGGTCATTTACTGATGAAAATTTGTGTATTAATTTGAAAACATAACAAATTACTCCATCAAAACCTTGCCTATTTGGGAAGTCTGTGTAGCCCAAATTGGTCCATTTAAAAACTTAAAAAGAACTTGACATATTGGTCTCTTATTTTTGGAATATATATGAATGCTGAATTGGTAGTGCAACATATTTCTTTAAAACCATAAAAAGGAAACACCAAATTTCCATAAAAAAAAAAATGATAGAAGCAGATTCTTTCAATTGAAGGTGTACTTTTTAATGGTAACTTTGGAATGTTGCAAAATATTCTCATATTTCTTAAATTTTGTGTCTAATCAAACTATGTCACATAAATTGAGACGACTTATGAAGAAGTGTATTATTTTATGTAAAACAATATATTAGCTAGCATCCAGTCAGCCTGCCCAAAATGATGATATTTTTATATTGGAGTATTTTACCCGTTGCCCTAATTCCAAGCATGTTGCTACAAAACTCTATATAAAACGCAAATATAAACCCTAGTAAAGCCTCATTTCAGTGTTCGCCTCCTCTGCTTCTTTCTCTTTCTTTTTTTTTCATTTTATAGTAATTTATATGTTTCACTTCATGGATTTTCATGTATATATCTCATACAATATAAGCATATTATCTTTTTGCATCAATTTTTTTAATGTAGTTTTATTTGTGATTAAATAATGTGCAAAAACTTCCATCCGCTTGTAAAGCAATAATGAGCAAAGCGGCCATATTTTTGCACAAAGGGAAATTGATGCTTTGAGGAATTAGGCACTCTTTATATGGTGTGCTTTTTTCTGAATCTAAAAGGTTCAACTTTACTTATAAGTTTGACCTTCCTAGGTTCAAAGGGCAGACATTGAAAGATTTTTCATGTCATCATTATAATCAAATATTTTCGTAAGATTTTTGAGTTCAAGTTCCGAATATAGAGTAGCATTTGTTAGAGAAAACTTCACCATTCAATATGAGACTTTCCAGTACGAAACAACGGAAGGGAAACCAATTTAAAAAAAGGTAAACCTTTATGCTCACATTTGGTAAGCCTCCAAATATAACAAGTTACGTATAATGCTCAGTATTCATAATCTTATACTGGGAATAGGGTGGTAGTTAAATAAGTTATTTAACAATCCTCCAAAAAAGGAACCAGGATACAAAGATGGCCCTAACATCCTACTGACATTGCTAAGACTCAGGAGAAAGTTTAATTTAATTATTTACATAAGTACTAGTTCTAAACCAGCTAATTAATATTACAGTAGAGCTGGATATTGCTTAGCCTGCGCCTTCACTCGTTTCTTGTACTCAGTTTTATCCTGCAAAGGTGATGACCACATTATTATACACAATGACAATTCAGCTAAATTTCGGGATACATTTCGATTAAGCATTGTTATAAAGGACGGTTGTTATGGAGAGATCTGACTCTAACGGACAATATGATGCATACATGATTCAAATACAACAACTGACAACATTGTAAGGATTATGTGTAAGAAAAGAAATCCGGAAGTGTTGAATGTCAAAAGATAAAAAAATGTGTCAAAACTCAAGTACGATACCTTCTGCACATAGAGCTTATGGCACTCAAATTGTGCTGAAGAACTTGGATTTGGCTCGTCGAGTAATTCTTGGATGCCCACCAAAAGTTGTTTAACTGTAATCGCCGGACTCCACCCCTAGGAAAAGGTATTTGCAACAATTTAGAACTGTAAATACAAATCAGCAACACAGGAAATAATGCAATGTCAGCAACAAGTACTTACCAAGTCCGTGTTGAGGATAGACAAACATACATCTCCTGAAGGATAGACATTTATATGAAAGAAACCTGGAGGAAACTTGCACTTCGGGGGTTGGCTAGGATAGTCTTCACTGAAGAGCATTGTCAGTGGATAGTGACCCCCTTCCCAGTCAGTCTGTAAAATTTGAACATTATTCTTCACAATCAACTCAAGAAACAAGGTGAAAAAAAAAGGATTTTGATTACAGTAAATAGAAGCAAAATATATGTCGTACCAGGAATATCTAACCTTAACCCAATCACTAAATTTCCAAAAAAGAAAGTAAAAGACTTGAAAGGAAGAGCAAATGATTCAATAACTCAAAAGTCAGGTTAAGAAAGCACTTCTTCACAAGCAATGGGGGACAGATTGATCGAATAGTCACGGGAAGTGCCTCGTGTAATCATTCCATCACTACATTTTTCGTGTGACCCAGTGGTTATGTTGCTCAGGCCTCCTACTAGCCAATGTGTGGGCAATTAAAAGGGATCCCAAGTATGGGAAAATCCACTTGAATTTCTACAAGAAAGAATTTTTGACCCAAGAAGGAACATAAAAACACTATCACATTTTTTCGTGTTATCTGCAGCTTGTTGCTCAGCCGTCCTACTTGTTTGAGGCAAACCATATGAACTCTGATTTGATCCGAATATTAGCGCCATGGAGATTCAAAGTCTATTTCAAGGACTGGAGTGTCTATCACAGAACAACAGCAAATTGATTCAGGCCTACAGCTGACAAAGTCATTCATATATCATCACTACATATGTGTTTACACCTCTAAGTTTGACAAGTCATTTAGCACTATCCTCCTAATTTCTTGTTCTTCGATTTCGGTTATCACCTGTTTTTTTTTCTGTGCTTCAGCTATCGCATTATTCATTGTCGTTAGTGCTCTTCATTTCGCATTATTTCGTTGTTGTTATTGCTCTCATTTCTGTATTCCCTTTTTCAAACAGTTTGGAAATGTTTTATTTAAGTCAACGGTCTACTGGAAATAGCCTTGAGGCAGGGGCAAGGTCACCTTACACTCTATCCTCCCCATACCCCACTTGTAGGATTACACTGGATATGTTGTTGTTGTTAAAGATTGATCAGAGAGACAAATATGCTTAACAGACTTCCTGCTCTTTTCTCATAGATTTCAGTCATTCAGCTGTTTCACCTAGAAACTAATGAGACTAGCTAAAACTGTTAGTAGACTCAACTCCATGAGTTCTAGCTTGAATCGAGCGGGGTACTAAACCATAAAAACGCTCAGCATACAGCAAAGAGATATATTAATTATTAAGGAAAACATTATGAATGAATTTGTTACTTTTTCTTGAATTGCAGATATATTTTTAGCTTTATCTCCATTATGCCTTTTTTCTACTAAAGTTCACAACTTTAACTGCAGGGAGCACTATCTAAAGCTTATAGATAGAAAATAGAGAGGACCAGCAGTGATACAGATTCTGAAGCCTAGGACAAAAACTAGCACAAGTACTCCAATTCAAGGAACAAATCCTGAATTTAACTCACCATATTTTAAGGATAGGCCAAAGTAGATGCACCAAACAGTTGCATCTACCATGAGTAATTCTGCATCCATTGCCAATATTGGAGTGGAGTTATAACCATGTCTTTCCATAAACTCAGGAATACATTTTGCGTTTTTTCGTTTTTCTACTTTTTATTTTCCACTCGGTGTTGAGTACCATCTATAGCTCATATACGCTCGAACTCGAAACCTCATCGGACTAATATATTTTGGGCATATGACAAACATCAATACATACAAAGAAAAGATATCATAGTTAGAAAAATTCACACAAGAAACTTACCCCAGGTTTACCCGGGATAATACAACGCCACAACATCAAATTGGCAGACCCATCAGGACCAGTCTCCGGCCTTGCCACAAAACCCTAAACATAAAAAAATTTGACATAAACAAAAATTAATTTGGTTTTACACACCAAAGTTCCACTTTGAGGTAAAACATACCCACTAAACCCAATTTCTTGTGATATTTAATTAAGAATGAAAGAATATTTACCGCGTAATCACAATCTTGATTTTTTAATTAAAGTTAAGAGTAAGATGGGAAGGAACGCACATGTGGGTGATTCTTACGCCATGCTTTCCTCTCTTCAGCGAGACGACCACGCGCGATCCCACCAGCCATGTTTTTTTCTGTCAAAAAAAATCAATGGAGTAATAAACTGAAGCTAAAAGGGTTTTATTTACTTTATTTGTGGGAAAACAAAGGGTCCTATTTTCTCGAGCACTAGAAAAAAACAAAGGCTTTTATACACTTGTTATATTTTGTAAAATCTTATTTGCTTGATTTATATGCATACTTGTCCTTAATTATAATTCATTGATATGTGAGTTTTACTTTTCAAAATACAAAAAATATACCGTCCTACTAGATACTTCTATTAGATAATATATAAGTACAACATGGATTCAATATATATTACTTTATTTATTTTAAGTTATGTGACATGAATTTATAAAGTTCATCAGATTTTTTATATGTTTTTTTTAAATATTTGTAAGTTGTTTATTATTGTGATTTATAGTAATTTTCAAAATAATATATTACACTCGATCTGTCATAATTTATATGATACTGATAGAATTTCGATAGTATTCAATTTTTTTACACATTCTTTAATATTTTAAGTTGTTAATTATTGTGATTTATATCACTTTTATTACATAATTTTCAAATAATACATATTACTCCTCATGTCTCAGTTTATATGGCAATGATAAAATTTTGAGAATTATATGATTTTTAAAATATAGTTAATTATTATAATTTATCATACTTTTTTTAAATATATAACTGACTAAAAAAAATAAAATAAACAAATTTAAACAGAAAAAGTACGAAATTTTTAGAAATATCATCGCCTAAAAGCAAACGTAACAAACAATCGCCGTTTTCTAATCGATTCTATAAAGTCAGTAGTAATAACTAATAGTAACTAGTCTCAAGTCCTCTCGTGTCCTAATGCTAAACATATAATGACATCATAAAAAATTGAACTGTAATTTAAAAGATTTTCAAGGGATATATAAATAAAAATAAATAAAATTATTTCCTTTTTAATTATGTATAGAAATATTTATTTTAATTAAATAAAAATAAAAAGGCTAAATGAACACCAAAATGAGTACTATTATAATGGTCAATATGCTTGCCGACAGAGGGAAATTTAGGAATTTTGAATTGACGAAAAAATCACTTTCTTTCTTGCAACTCTTTTCTATAATTTGTTATGTTAGATATAGGGTTGTGTTAGGGTCTTTTTGCTTTGAGACTAGAATTTATAATAATTTTTATTGAAAACTCATACTATTGATCTTGAATCTTGATATGAACTCAGAAAAAGCATTTATGTGTTGCTTGCAAGAAAAAAAATTACTTTTTCATTTTAATTTAAGTGACATATTTCTATTAGGCATAAAGTAAAAGAGGGGAAAAATAAACTCTTAAAATTTATAATTTATAATTATTTTATTAAAGGTAAAGAAAAAAATTTAAATTAAGTTGTTCCTATCACAGAGAATTTTGAAGAGTAATAATTGATGTTTGACTAATTAATTAACGCCTTTTCTTTTGGCTTTTTTTTTTCTTCAAAATCTAAGAACAATTCTATAAAAAGGAACAATAGAATATAAAACTAAATAAAATAAAATAAGATATAGCAGACAGTTTTAAACCTAAAATAAAAAAAAATATTAAAAATAACTATAAAATTATTCAAAAGCCCAAGCATTCTCTTTACGGATCTCCTCTTCTTCCTCGGGAGTAAAATCATTCTTGATACCAAATTCTTTACGTATTTGTTCTGGTGTTTTCCCTTTAATCCTATCGGCAACTTCTTGACACATCATATCCAATATCTCCTTATCGTTAAGAAAATTAGCAGCTAAGATAAGAGCATGCAAAATTGAGTGGTGCACCTTCACAAAAGCCTTGTCAAAGTCCATCAACATGTCTTCAGAGACGCCTTCCTCTGAATGTTTCTTCCAGTATTCGATTACTTTGGTCATTGTTTTACTATCGACATTAGGCAGGGGAATGACGTTTGAAACACAATCGTCTTCAACCATATTCTTGATAGTTTGTGACCTTACGGCTATCGCCTTGTCCAGTACAAATTTCTTATCATCGCAAGTCTTTAAAGTTAAGAACTTTGTTGAAGAAGACATGATGATAAAAATATATTTGAATAAACTCAAAAGTTCTTGAATTTTACTTCAAGTTCTCTATCGATTCTGTATATTGAAAATAACTAACAACATCCCTATTTATAAAAGTAAGAAATCAAATTAAACTACGACTAGGAATCACTATAACTAACAAATCCTAATTAAACATGAATAAGTAAATACCATAAATAACAAATCCTAAACACCTAAAATTCCTACTTCAACTTTGAATTATTATTTCCAACAGAAACTAAGCATTTTTGTTTTTCTAGAAAACAAGCTATACTATTACTATAGTATTTAGTAGAATAGTAGTTGAGTTATGTAGCGCGTTACTTTATTATATGATTGTCAAAACATTTTTTTTTTTTATGGAAGACTTAGTCCTAAAGCTATTAATTTCTTCCTATCTGAATTCTGGCCACACATATCTGGACTAACCTCAAAACTTTTAGAAAATATAAGTAAAAAAACAAATAACTAAAAACACGTGAGGAAAAAGATATATCAAAACATTTTCATTTTTTGAAAATGACGTTGCCCTCACATATTTGTAAATTTGAAAATTCTTGAGTCAAGTTGTCAATTAAAGCATGCATTTCGCTATTTTTCTTTAAAAATTGTATTCTAATAAGTAATATTATGGAGTGGAAAATATTGACTATGTATGTGGTCTTTCATTCTGCACTTGAGATCTTCTAGATTTGATATCTTATTTCTTTTTTTTTGGTTTGAAATTGATGTATGCATGTCTGCGTCTAAGTTAACTGCAATTACAAAGACCACATAGAAGATTATAATATTAATTTCAATATCAACGTAATTTAAATGGCTCAATATATATAAGAAATAAATGTTAAATATAGTTTAGAGAATAGATTAATTATTATTTAAACTCTTTCTATATAATGTAATTTTAATGGAAGTCACCACGTCTTAAAATGCATAATTGTATTAGAATTTGGTTTAATACAATGATAATTTCTTAAGTTTATCATTAAGTTCATTTAGCCATTTAATTACGATGTGATAAAAAGGTTTCGTATGTGTATAGTGTACTCATGAGCTCGATATATAGTTCAGTGTACTCTGAACTTGATGCAAATCATTAGATTTATTCTCAAACTATTGACAATCTTAAAAAAAAAAACTCTTTTATTTGACTAACTGTACTTAAATACATCCCTAATCTCCCAACATGAGTGGAATATACCCCTGTATTCTCGTCAAGTTTAGAAGTGTTTTCAACACTTCTCTTGACCTTTTGTTAAGATCGAGCACCATGATCTTACAAGACTTTGAGACTAGTTTTCAATACTTCTCTGGATCACTCTTAATATCATATGTATTCACGTTAATAACTTGAAAACCTCATGAATATTTCGATTGATCATGATGTGTATAATTAAAAAAGAAAATATAATTTAGATAAATTCACTTATCTACCTAATAGACGTTTGTGAACCTGCCTAGATAATACTTTTTCTAATTGTTTGGATGCTAAATTAAAATATTTCACATTTCATCATATACTATCTAAAAATAAGACAAATTTATTAGAGTATAGTACTTGTAGTTGTTAGGATGCTGCAGTCTAAATTGAAAAGTCCATAATAACAGACAGAAACCAAAGGCGGCTACAACTCTGTCTGCCATTGGTCAAATTTATCATCAATTTCCTTTCTCTTTCCATCTTACTAACTACATTTATACTTATAATATCACTCATCTTCTTCCCCTGTTTTCTGAAACTGAGCTGAGTTTTCCATCATTCTCTCTAAGATTAATTACATGGAGATAGATGATAGTGCTAGTACTACTCCTTATATTAGTGCTTGTACAAGCCCTCAACATCGTTATGGCACGTTGTTTCTCAGTGCCCCTACTAGTCCTGCTCGTGTCTCCGCTGCCCTCTCTGATGATTTCCATATGATTACTGGTGGGGAAGGTCTAAAAGTACCCGGTGAAGTTCCGTTCAATTGGGAGGAAAGGCCTGGAATTCCGAAATCAAGAGATCAAATTAATGATGATGAGGAGGAGGATTTTGTTTTCGATTTTAGTGGACAGTTGGAAAGAAGCTCTGTTTCAGCAGCTGATGAGCTTTTTGATGGTGGAAAGATTAGGCCATTAAAGCCACCACCTAGATTACAATATGAAGCTGATTACAAACCATTTGATTCGCCTAGATCACCTAAGCAGAGATTCAAGCAAACTTTCTCCCCGAGAAATAAGAAGGAAATTGATCCATTTGCTGCAGCTATAGAACACACTGCTCGAATAGAAAAAATCGAAAAGCCTAAAAAGACGAGATCTTTATCTGTTCCTGATCTGGTATTTGATCACGAAAGCAATCAGGAGACCACAAAGACTGGCCCATACTCTTTGTGTTCCGTTTCATCATCGATATCACTCTGGTACAGGAAATGGAAACTGAAAGATTTGTTTCTATTCAGAAGTGCTTCTGAGGGCAGAGCGAGCAGTAAAGATCAATTAAACAAGTTTTTGAAGAAAACTCACGAGCAGGAGGAGGACGCCAAGACTTCAAGCTTCAGATCAACTGCTAGTAGTGTTGCATCATCATCGGTATCAACCTCCTTGATGAGGAGGAGGAGGGAGATTTCAGCTCATGAGATGCATTACACGTTGAATAGGGCATTCTCCGAAGAGATGAAGAGGAAAACATTTTTGCCATACAAGAAATTAGGGGTACTAGGTTGCTTAGGATTCATTCCGTCAATGGATGATACAAGTTTTAGAGGTGTTGCTCCTTCTATGTCCATGAATCGTCGTCAATAAAATCTCATCATCTCTGTGTGAAATTTTTTCTTCAATTTATTACGTTTAAGTGTATATCGTAGTTTGTAACATTTATGACCTCCAATCTTCTTGGCAGAAATTAAATATGTTTGTACAATATTGTATTTGAGATATATATCTATCTATGGAACATGTTAGTGCGAGGAAACGATGAAAAAGGAAAAACTTTCATTATTATACATGTCATGAAGTTATATAGATATTTGCATGTTAAGCATAAATAAAAGAATCAAATTAACAGTAAATTGGAGTGTGGGTGAAGAACAAAATATCCCCACAATCCTTTAACAGGTTAGGAAGTGGAACAGTCAATAATCTACTACCTATGCAATTCTAATTCATGAATTTGCTACAGTTGGGAGCTCCACAATGACAGGGGACTTTAACCTCATCATTCTGATCAGCCTCAAATCTGTAATCAAAGGTTAACTCATTCCCTGCTGAAACATCCTTTTTAGCAAAAAGAATGATCCGATCCTCGTTTTTTCCAAGACTCATGATCCTTGAAAAGCAATTTGGCATGCATGAGTGGTTGATTAATCTTGCGATGGATCCTTTCATGGTTGCATCAATCACTACTTCTTCATTTATCCTGAAGAAGTAACAGTTCTTGCCTTGTGACTTGTATTTACGCTCTCTAAGGTCAGCGACACTGCCCCTTATCTTCTCACCCACATACTCGGCTACCATTTCTCCTTCTTGAAGCTTTCTCTTTGCAAAGAGACCCCATCCATGTATACCGGATTTTCCAAAACAAACCCGGTGGTTTATAGTTTTACCCAAATGATGCAATCTCTCTCTCAATGTTGGAAAATTCTTTTCTTCTTGATGTTGTTTTGAGGTTAAACTCTGTATGGCTGTTAGTGAGTGATGGTGAGGCCTTGTTACCCTGTGGATTATTGGTTCTGGTTTAGCTTTCTTGTCCGTTGATGGTCTGAAAACTCGACATCTAGCTGCAGAGAAATCATCTGGTTCGTTAGTTTCAGTTGATGATGCATCGGAAGGCATGAGCCTCAAACCTTTCAACGCTCGGCCTCCATTTCTTCTCTGAAGCAAATTTTGGTTCGAGTAAACTCCACCAGAAGTTCGCATGACTAAAATGTTATCCTCACTTGGGGCTTTATGAGAAGCACAATACGATAACCATTTAGTTGTTTGTGTTCCGTTCTTCTCTGAGCACTGCATTTCCATGTAGTATCCAGCTCGGGAAGCACACGTGGAGTGATAAGATATCGTGCATTTGCTGCATTGTATGCAAGAACCATGAGTCTGCTGGCATATATTACACGCTTGATGAAAGGACTTTGGTGGAATCGCGAGAAGTCCTATGGCAGGCTCCATCTTCTCATAATCAACAAAAGCAATTTCAGGTCTAAACCAACCACAAGTGACATGAACCCAAAAAGGATCAACATCAGTAGGTTTCAACGCGCCCCCTTTGACAGGACACAGACAACATTCCCTTTCAACTTCTGGAGTTTCACAAGCCCGGCAGACCCACGAAGCTAAATCTTGAACCTCTCTAGCGCCATAACATTCTTGATGAACAGCAATCTGGCACCTACTGCATATAATAATCTTGTTGAAGTCCCAATCTTCAATCCATCTACAAATTGCGCAACGCTCTACGGTCCACTTTGCATTAACAGGATTATACTTTTCTTGCAAGAGTGACATCAATTGCTGCCGCCTATCTATTTTCAAAGGAGTAATTCCATGACCATTGTTATTCGCAACCCATTCCCCTAGTGGTTGCATAGTCATCATCACCTTAATACTGACCTTCCACTTTTTCGCTCTGGAACCAGCATGCCGTTCCCATTCACCAACTGTCAGCTTCTTAACCCTGCAAGAACCACACCTACACTCAACCATATGAAGTTCTGGAAAATAAATCCCTTCCATCCCATTGCAAATTACAGCTATAAAATTAGACTTTACTCCACAATCGGGGCATAACGAATTTTCGTTAAGATCACTGCAAACTTTCTTACATGCCGAGCAGCATATATTGATTTTCCTCAATTCAACTTTGACCTCACGATGAAGATGGGATCTTGGACTTTCTGCTGAAAAACAGTAATCTTGAACTCGGGGCAGAAAATTTGGCGATTTACTTTCTTCAACTTTAAATTGAAAGCTAAAATCTTTGAATCCAGCCCTAAAAACTTCATCAAATTTCTGTTTCTTGGATGTAAAAAACCAATTTTCCCTATAAATTTCGTCGTCAATCTCTTTCTTGTTTGTTTTCCGTTTCACAGCCATTAGAACTTTACTTCAATCAATACTTAAACTTAAAACAAAGGCAATTTCTTCATCCGCGTCGGTAATTTATAAACCCTAAACCCTAAAACACATGAATTCGATTGCAATTCCCAGTAAACCCCTATTTCTCAAGATTTACGGAGAGTCGAATCCGATGAAACAAACAGAGTATTGCAAATTTATGTTCAACTATTTCAACAAATCTACTTTCACCGTTGCCGTTGCCGTTGCCGTTGCCGTTGCCGGAGAAAGAGAAGCCTCCGATTAGAAATAAACGGCAAGACTCATAAAGAGAGAGTTTAAGGAACTACATGTTCCTATTCCCATTCGGACAAGGATTTTCTTACATTTATAGTTTTCGGTACAGTTTATGGGCTTCTACTGGGCCTGGAACTTTCAGATAAAATAAGCCCATTGGGCCATTATCCCACATGAGTCAAAGCATCTTCTTGCTTAGTGAATTTAATTTCTTTTAAATATTGGAAAATTTTATACAATGTAATCAATTACTCAAAGTTATAGCTGTTATTTATTCGAACCGTTTTTTAAAAAAAAAAACAGTTTTTGTTTCCAAATCTTGTAATAGAGTAGAAGAAGCAAAAACATATTTTGAGCGCATAAACTGTTTGTGTCCTTAAGGATTTATAACTCCTGTTGTTAAGGAATTGTGTTACTTTCTCTCAAAATAAAATGGAAGAATGTCTCTAGTGACAATGCGAATTAGAAGTCTTTGATAAGTAAAAATGGCAACGAAATCACACTGGACACTTACGCTTATATCTTTGAATGAAAGATACTTCTTCATTTTTTTAGTGAAAAACTGAGGTGAAGTCTTGAAATTTATGGTGACAAGATTGGATGCAGATATATTTGTTCATTAAAGACAGAGTCTATTCAAGGATTTAGTTACCGTTTGAGAAACTTTTAAAAATCGTGAATTTTAAATTAAAATTTTGCGCCAAAAATAAATAATGAAAATAGTAAATTAATTAGGTCTAAAAAAATATATGAGTGAATCTGAAGCCGAGTGACAACAACAACTTGAGAGAGACTCTTTTCTCAACTCTTTAAAAGCTTAGAAGAAATAATTCTACATATAAACACAAAAGTTCTCTTTTCAAATTTCATTTGTCTATTTTATTTCACCATTTCTCATTTCTGCACAACATTTGACACTTTTCTAACAGGAAAAGCATGCAAGCTGAGGTCAATTTAGAATTTAATTTTATAAGTTCAATCTTAAATTTGTTTTAGTATAAATTCATTATTTTTAAAAATTATAAATTCATATGTAGTACTTATAATAATTTTAATATATAATTAATTACACATAAATATATACTTTGTATAATCCAGTAAGCTTTTTGACTCCGCCGCACAACCCCACCTTCGACAATTATCATATGCTGCCAACTTCTATATCTAATCAAATTTCAAAAAAGATCTAAAAACTACTATTTCCCTCTGATATTTTGGCCAATGAACTGTTCACACCATCCCAAAAGAACCTTAAGAAAATGAAAGCAAAATGGTTCGGTCCATTTGCTCTTTAATTTTCTTTACTATGTGGTAGACAATATAATTAACATATCTCACTATACTCATAATCATGAGCCTCTCCTCGCTGGCATAAAGGCGGATTTAGAATTTTATAATATGAGTTCACTATTGAAAAAGGGAGAAAAAAAATACTCTATTTTCATCAATACAAGTATTTTATTATTGATTGACATTTAATTTTAAGGCAATTTTAGAAATAATTTGAGAAATAAACGGTTAATGTTGAGGATAAAATAGGAAAAAAATAAATTTTTCTTTTGATACAATAAAAGTTTAGCATATTGGATAAATAAAAGTTAACAATTATATTAAGTGACAATTGATCCCTTTTCCTCTAGGTAAATAACTCCACATTCAACCAAGTATATTATTTAGCCTTTTCGAAGCATAAGTGTCAACAGATAATATTAGATCAATTCTAAAGAAATATATACATAAAATATCTAATTTAACAGAAAGATCATGAATTCACGCGTACCGCCCTTGAATTGGTGAGAGTTTTCATAAGGTAATTGTTCTTTACATGTAAAGCCCCCACATAAACAAATTAATCTCAACACATGACAAAAGAATTTACAAAGTAGAGAGACAAATTAAAACAAAACACCTCTTAATTTAAACTAAAGGTTTTTCTGTGCTATCTGATGAACTTACACTAAGATTAAACATGCAAGTCCCTTTAGATATTTGCTTCTCTTTTGATGAAACTAATGATGTTGTATTCCAATATTGTCCACTTTTGATCTCTTCTCCATATACCCAATTTTCCCCTTGTCTACTTTTACTCTCAATTCCACCATTCTCTGAGCAAGAAATTGTAACTTTTCTCCAATTGCACCAAATCCTCAGCATGATATAAAGCAGAACCATGCATATAACTGTTGCTGTTAACACAATAGCCACTGTTATCCCTACAACACTTGATTTTGACAACTCCCATATTCTCTCATGTTCCTTCAATTCAGAACAAGATAGTAATGGTGGGCCACATAGGTTATGATTGTTTCCCATGAAAGAAGTTAGTGGGAATCCTGAAAATGTGGAAGGGATTTGGCCTTGAAGATGATTATATGAAAGATTGAGTCTATGTAAACTTGATAACCTTCCAAGTGATGGTGGGACTTTTCCTTGAAGTTGATTGAATGAAAGATTCAATCTTTCTAACTTTACAAGGTTTCCAAGTGATGAAGGGATTTCACCTGAAATGTGATTCTTGCTGAGGTCTAGTATTACTTGTAATTCGGATAAAGAACCAAGTTCGTAAGGGATTGAGCCTGTTAAGTTGTTTTC